TTCTTTCCCCCCCCCCCCCCCCGCAACCCTCTCCCCACCCACACAACTGTCGAAGGATAGACGGAACAATCTTTGACGACAACGACGACAACGACGGCGACGACGACGATGAAGCCACCTTTTCACCGATAAGAATTTGCTCCTCGAACACAATGTCTTTATTGAGAAGCCATCGCGCGATGGGAATGATTTTTATTATTCCCCGATTAGGGGATGGAAATCGGAGGAGGCTCAGGCAACTCCGCCGGCATCGGAGACGATAATGAGGAGCAAATAATGGGACAATGTCGCCCGGGAAAGAGCTAGTTGTTCGAATATCTTCGCCGGGGGAGATGAATCTTTCAAGGGATCGAAGGGGGTGGGTTTTATGGACCCTGACAGTGCGAACGAATCACTTGATGCCGTTTCTATCGAAATATACCAACCCCGTCTCGCCCGGTGGATTATTTATTAGCCTGCTAAGCGATCGGAGCATCTTCCGCTCTGTTTATCGGCCGTTCTTAGTTGCTTTTCAGAATATTATTTACGGATCACAAGGTAGCAAAACATTAATCAAACTACGAGCACAGTGAGATTCAATTTCGTAGGAATAAATTGAGCGCTTCCAGTTCAGATGCGATTACAACTATCGAATTACGTCTCCAACTGAAAGTCTCGGGGATCTATTAATTAATTGAATTAATTTCGCCTACATTCGTATCGACCGATTGTTCTCCGGCTGCTCTTATCTCGGCAGGCTTTCGCTCGGATTCATGGAAAACAGGTAAACGCTTTTTACCATATTGACGTAGGCGAACTGTAAATAACGTGAAGTCATCATTTGCTATCAGAGACATTTGCGCTTTGGAGCATCTTCCAATTGTTTGAAGAGTCTGTCGTCTTCGAGACCCTTTGATCTTCGTCCAGAGGAAAAGAAAAACTGATATGCTCAGTTTTATTTTATTTATTATCATTAAAAGCACCGATTTAGCTCGGTCGGAGACGGATCCGCGGTGTCTCGGGAGGCCCGCGGTTTATTTTATTAATTTCTCTGCGGGATAAGCAAAACGTGAGCCGCGACGAAAGATCGCAGGATCGAGCAAGGGTCGTTTTCAAGGGAAAGAGTTCGCAATTAGACCGCTAACGACTTTCTTTCCCGACGGTGTTCCGTGCGAGCCGGCTAGCCCGCCACCGTGGAAAGATGAAAGAGAGACAACGCGCCGCCGATGCCAACGCAAATACGCTCCGCGAGTGTTTCAAAACACGTTGGCTAATGTACCGAGGGCGATAGATCAAGAAATAACCGAGAACGTTATCCGCGCTTCTCCTAGCCGCGATCTTCGTGACTTCCTGCTTCCCGAACCAGAGAGATGTTATTCTTTCCCATAGATATCCGCTCGCAAATAGAACGAATTTTTTCATTAGAATTACAATCACAATTCAAGCCCTACAGATGATTATTTCATTCACAAACGTTTAATTAAAATTCGTTCATCCCTCGAAGATGACCATTTTGTTGACATATCTTCAATTTCAATTTATTCTTTCCATGGAGAAGGCTATTCTCTTCATAAATGCCTAATTACATAGGCTGTTCCTTAGGCAAACATTTATTTTATAAACTAATATAGAGAACATAATTTTTTAATTAGACTTTTATTTGGAGCAGTTTTGGATGTAACCTCAGCTTTAGCAATGTCAATGTTTTTTAATGCAAAATCAAATTTGACATTCTCTCTATAGAATTCAAAACTACCTGCACATTTATGGATATTTACATCCTTCGTTAGCTTAATTTATTTCAATGAAAATGGAAATAATATTATTATTATCATCGTAAGATTGAATTCTATTAAAATTATTCTAGTTACAAATTTCCTGAAAGGTCTTGTATTCTACGTCAATTTAAAATGATATCTGATTTTGAAATTCAATTGTCTTTCAAGAACTTTTCTTAATTATTGATGAGGCAAGCATTAGGTGGAAAGCATCCAAGAACGTATTGAAAAATGGTCCATTTAATATTACAAAATGGCAAGTTCGAGCTGAAGTTTGAGACGGTATATCGACAATCAACGCCTGATTCGCGGTTTTATCGATAATTGCGATCACCTGCGGTCACGTGTGCCGCGAAGCCATCGCGGAGACATCGACGCCGCGGCCATATTGGGAACGCCGGTAGGCCGAACCAATACGATCCGCGATATTACCGTATATTTACCCTGATACGAAGATTTGCTGATAATTGGCGCGATAAGAAGAAATCGAGTGCGCAATACCTGCCGCAACAAACAATCGCCACGGACGGGACGACGAAATTTTATCGTTCCGGAGCGAGCCTAGCGCCGTTGAAACCAGCTGTTGTGAAACGGATTAGAAGCCGACTGACAGATCGGTGGGTGGATGGAGAAACCGAGGCTTTCACGGTTGCGTAATGTTTCTACGGGAAAATCTCTTGCCGCGCCTTTAGGCGATCGCGATCGGCACTTTCTGAGAATCGCGACGTTTTTCGAATCGGCCTACCTTTCTCGATCTCTCCACAGCGAGTCGTAAAAATCGGCAAGCTACCACACGCGTTCTCGCGTCTTATTGGTCTTTTAAAATATCACGCGCGATTCAGAAAACTTCGTCAAAAAGCTAGAAGGTTGTTAGAAGAATCCTATCTTTCTGAAGATTGGTGAACCGATTCGTAAATATTTGAACGATACTAGAGGGAACGTTGTAGAACAAAGTGCCGATTATAATTAACGATAACGATTTTATAGTTAATAATATATGAAGGCAGAATCGCGTTCGCTAGGGATCGGCGCCGCGTCGGTAAAAGTCGCCAGAGGATTTTTTCACAATGAACCACTGGAAACGAATTTAGGTTACGCGTTATCATATCTGTCCATGTC